GCGCCTGCAGTTCTTCATCAAGTTTCATTTCTATGGTAACAAGTTGGTTCACCATGTCTTGAAACTCATTCAAGTGTTCAGCAATTGATCTTCCATCCCGATATTTTAAATTTACAAGCTTTCTAATGACGAAAGCTTTATTCTGTGCAGTCTTCCTCTGGTACATCTGTTCAATTTTTTCCACAACGTATGGGCTTTCGACTCTGTGGCAACATGGTGGAATATACTGATATCCACCCACTGTCGGATTAAACGACAGCTTTCCGGTGTAATTTCTTCCAATCTTCATCCTTCATGTCATCTGGCTTGTTGTCTCCCTTTTCTACAGGATCGTACAGATCTTTGTAAAAAAGTATGTCCTCTATTTTTGGATTCCAAATGGAGTAATTTGTTGCTGTGAGCTTCACCATGGTACCCACGTTCTCCTCCATTTAATTTACATTGGCTGATACAGAGCCCAACCTGAGCTCTGATACCACTTGTTGGGCTCAGATGCGCAAATGCGGAAGATGTAAATTAAAATACTAACGTGAAATGGTGAATAATAATCCCAATCCCAGCAACTCAAGAATGACAAAAGAAAATCTCTTGCAATAAAACAGGAATAATTCTTTTCTGGTGTGAAAGTTCAGATTAAACTGCGACCACATAGCGTACTAAGAATATCCCAAATAAATAAAATATGCAAGAAATAAGACACCAAGATTTAACGTGGAAAAACCTCCAAATAGATGAAAAAACCACGGGACAACCTCCGAACAATTCCACTATATTTTCAAGATAATTACAATATCTTTTTACACTCCCTTACACTAGAAATGTAAAATATAGTGACCCAGTGAGAACCTCACTCTTAAACAAAGAGTAATAGAGTTGATACCCAACCCGGTGTATTTTTCACACACTCACTGGATTTACTCAAACACTCTATTTTTATCTCACTGAAAAATAACACACGCAGAAATATTATTTCTGTACTCTCTTGCTCTCTCTTTTTTTCTTTCTCTACTTGGTGCGTCTTTCCCTGATGAAGACCCCCACTATTTATAGTGAGGATATCACATAAAACCTGTACCATATATTGCTACTTTTTTTCCGGTGCCAACCAAACTTGATTGCTTTTCATGTGCATAAGATGCCTTTTATTTTGTTTGTTAGTGCCAACAAAAATTGGCTGGATCTGACATCTTGGGTTCGAGCATTCGTCATAGATTCTTCACTACTCTGTCCTTTTTTTTTCGATAGCTGCATTTGTTCACCATCTCTACAATTTCAACAGAGATGGTGAGTAGCGCAAGAATGGGATTTTAGACCTAACCGACCTAACTTCTGAGCTACGTCAAATCTGCATTTGCATTTATTGCTCTGGAGTTGTGCATGTTTCTCTTCGAAAAATATAAAGAAACTTATTTATAGTCATCACGCATAATTTATATGCTCTACTATATAAAATATATTAATTAATATGGTCGAATACAAAGATTATGCAAAATTTAATGCATTTATAATTAGTGTATTAATTGTGAAAAAAACATTAATATATTTATTATATAACTAATATAAATTTCATATGTAAAAATTAAAACTGTTTTTGTATTCTTGGAAAAAAAAAAAAATAAATAAGGCCGTCTAGGTGCCGCCAAGACCTCGTAGGCTTCCATCTAGACCGCCTAGGCGTCCGTCTAGACGTGAGTACCTCCACAACCATCTAGCTCACCTTGGTGCCTCCTAGTCTGCCTAGGCGTTGCCTAATCGTTGTAGCGCCTAGAACGAATGTCTAGCAAAAGTCGTGGCGCCTAGAGCGACTTTTAGCATAGTGAATTTAAGGGGTGCGGTCCTCGGATGATCTGTGACTATACCGGAGCTAATGGAGTGCACTTGAAGGATTGGACAGTCTTGACTTGAGTGGTCATGTAAAGGTGGAATGATAATGAAATATGTCTAACAAGAAAAGGAGTTTTCTCCTATATGGAAATAAGATAGAATGAATCTTCGTTGAGGATACTATCTTTATTTGCAACATCTTGGTCGGAGAGGTATTATATATTTTGATAAATACATCACCATATTTGAAAACCCTATAACATATCATCACTCAGCGCAAATACCGAATTTCAGAGTTCAGAACTAACTTAGAGAGTCGGAGTGTGCATCGGGAACCCCTACCGATGCTTTGTTCTCAATGTTGGTTCGTGAAGGTGGCACTTCGGTTGAGGAAGGGCATGACATATAAAATTGGCGTCGTCTTTGGGACCTTTAACTGAACATAATATTTTCCTAAAATCAAAATAGTTGCAACGGTAAATTTTGACGATGGCCGACAAAGAAGCCATAAAGGATACTTTGATATATCATATATAGCAATTTGATGACAAATACGAAATTTATTAATTTCTAATATAAATAATTTTAATTAGTCAGATGTTATATAAGTTTAAAAGTTATAATAGGCATGATAAAGTCTAGTATATATATGAACTGCTTTGAAGTACCAAAACTGGCATATATCATTTTGAAGCATCAAATGTAATTTGTCACGTGATTATAATTTCTAATAAATCATTTAATTTTGTAGAGTTAAATTATAACATTAGTATATTTTTAATAAAAAATAAATTGATGATATTTTTCAGTTATTTTTTTTCTTTTTTTTTCAAAATGATAGAAGTTATAAATATTCACAAAACATATACAACTAGATAGCAGTCACTTAGTCGAATATATCAGCCACCCCATCGAATAAAATAGCTAACCCGCTGAATCTAATTGGGAGAACTACACCGATGGCAGCCTACAACCAACATAAAAGAACTTAAAACACAATAAAACTCCTATGGAAAAACCAACAAAATCTACCACAAGTGGTGAATACACCGCATGCATTCTTAGAAAAAATAAAAATAAAACAAAGATAACAGCTACAACAATCCTTCCCGCAACAGGTACCCAAACCAAGCAAAACGACGACAACACCAATGGACATCCATCCACATACACAGAGCTACAGCCAAGGAACCCGACCCACAAACAGCAAAAGAACGCCTAATTGGGTCCAACACCAACGGACCCAACCTCAATCCAAAAGGACATCACTAACCCACACCAGAAACCTTCACCACCAAAACCACCTAGATGGACACCACCGACTCAGGCCCAAACCTCAGAAATCCGAACGCAGCCGCCTCGCCGATCATCCCCTCCAGCCAACTTCACGATCGAAGAGAAACACGTTGGAAAGGGGTAAAACCCTCCACCCCGATCTCCACAAACAAGAAAATTGGAGCCGCACCCCTGAAGAACACTGGAGGACCGCCGTGAAAATAGCCGAAAATCAGCCACTCGCCTCTCCTACAAAGACAATTTATGTACCTCGTATTTTTAAGTTCTAACTTTAGGTTTGGGGTAATTCTATTTGATAAAACAGAAAAAATGTTCGTCTAAAATGGAAAAATTAAACTAAATGCAGAATGGGAAGGGTTATAGTTTATTTTTTGTGTTTTGTGTTCGTTTTGTGTTGTAAGAGTGCGTTTGTGTTTTTTATCCCCGTTTTTAGGAATGTTGATTCTTTTGATGGGGAGTGTGATTCTCCCGTTGGGGAGCTTGTATTCTCTCATTGGGGAGCTTTTGTGTGCTTGTTGTGTTGTGTTGTGATATTTAGGCTACCTTGGGATGTTGGTAGGCTTCCCTTTTTCTGCTAGTGAGCCGATTGTAAGTATGTGTTTTAGACTGTTAATATGATAATGTAATAATTAAACTTCATGTAATTTAGGTATAGTAAAATAACGAAAAAAAAAAATATCTTTGAATAAAAGTAATTTTATTGAAAAATCTATATTAATAAATTAATTTCACTGATAATACGGAGAAGGAAAAGTTGAAATAAATAAAAACTAACTTGAAATAAATCAATGCGTCGACAGACACATTTGTATCTTTCATCCACCGAGTCGCCGACCGCCGTCTCCTCAATCTCCGGCGGCTCTCTGTCTCTCTCAAATCCTCTTCCGACCACCGCTGATCTCATCGTGCCTCCGGTTTTTCTCTGAAGTGCACTCACCGGAAGATTATTAGGTCTGCTCTCTTTCTTCTCTCCTTGTTTTGCCTTTAACAACTAAATTAGTAAAGTTTTTCGTAGCCTGTGATGGATTCTACAGTCTTAGCTGCCGTTATTGGTCATGCAAATGACTAAATTCTAATCTTTAGCTGAATTTCTGTTCTGATGCTTTCCGATTGGTCTGTATATTTAGAATAATTGAGGAAAAAAAAGTTGTTTACCCCGTGAAATTACTGGATATAATCTTTGTTGAGTCGTGGTTTTTAGGTTTTAATTGTGTGTTGGTTTGTGAGAACTACAATATTTAGATAGTATAAAAAATGTGATTATGGAGTATATTACAGTAGGTTTCTTGAGTTCATTGCCCCAGCCCATGAATATGCTTTAATTTGTGTGTGTGTGTGTGTGTAGGAATGCGTGTGATTGGTCCGCGAATTAATCTTTTCAAGGTTAATTATGTAATGATCCATTTGCATCTAACTGAATCGTGCCCGACATTGCAAAATATAAGTCGAATTTATTAGTGTGTATTGATCGCAGCGTTCTTCGTATTGGAGCAGTCTTGAAATTTATTTTGGGACATTGCTGAGATACTGTTTCATTAAACTGAAGATTTTGGAGGGTTATGGATGCCGAGATGAAATCGATATATCACGAGAGGCAAAAGTTACAATTCTGCTTATTGCACTCCCTAAACAATCTATACCAGGTACACTAGTTCCTGTAACTTTCTCCTTTCTCAAGTGTTGGACTATGTAAATTGTAAAGCATGTGTATCGATACACATTAATTACAAATTCAGAGTGTAATCCTAAGCGGAGGTCTTTTTAAGATCAGACTGTCTCTCCATTTCGAAAGATGTTTTCTTTTGCCGATTCGGATGACTAAATTAAAGTCTCATTTTTGTGAACATAAGCTGTTTGATTGATTAATGATATATATTTAGGAGAAAGACGCGTTTACCCGCGCCTATCTGAATGCCGTAGCTGAAAAACTTGACCTGGAGGACCCGAACAAGTCTGCCCGTACGCCATTGTCTGTTGTCTTCAAGTCCCACCACAACGTGTTCACAGGAAACTATGACATTAATGTCTTGATTGCTGCACTCAAGGAGAGGGGCAAAGTGGTAACTTGGCACGACCGGCGTTGTGGGGCGTCCTCGATTGATCTCGACCAACCAGAAGATAAATTGTTCGGCATCATAGTTAATGTCCCCGTGAGAAGGTATGGCGGCCTGTGGAGAAGTCGGCACTGGATTGCGTTGAGGAAAATCGAGCGGGTTTGGTACAATTTGGATAGTGACTTTACCACCCCGTATGCTTTTAGAAACACGGATGAGATACGGGAGTTTTTGGATGGCGTAATATCAAGCGGTGGCGAGGTTTTTCTCGTCAAGAATATGGAAGAAGAATGAGGCGAGTTTCGGTATATTACATGATGTTTTGTTTTGTCATTTGATTTGGATGGGCAATTTGTATGTAGTTGTTTTTGATGAATGCTTTTTTATTGGGAAATGAAGTTATAAAGATATGAATCAAGTGATATATAAAAAATTATCAAGTGATATATCAATCATGCACTGGTAACCCTCATACCTAAAATCCAGAACCCTATTTGTCTCATTTTAGGCCTATAAGCCAGCAGCAGTGTCATATACAAAATTATCTCAAAGCATTATCTCAAAGTTGTTAGCTAATTGAAAGCCTTGTCTGCCCATTAGCATTAGTGATAATCAAGCAGTCTTTGTGCCCAACCGGCAAATTCTTGATAATGTCATTCTAGGCCAGGAAGTTATTCATTTCCTTCATAGACATTGAACTGGTCACAAATACTATATGACTCTTAAACTTGATATGGAAATAGCATTTGGCAGAGTTGAATGGAAAAGTGTGAGCCTGATTATGCTTAAGCTTGGGGTTAGCTCTATATTTGTGAATTGGATTACTACTTGTATTTCTTCTGCTTCATTTTCCTTAATATCGATGGAGAAACTTCTGCGTTTGTCACTCCTTCTAGAAGATTAAGACAAGGGGATCCCCTGTCACCTTATGTCTTTATCTTTGTTTCAGAAATTTTTTCTTATCTTATCAAGCATGAAATTTAGAAGGGTCATCTGCATGGAATTAAGATCTCTAATAACGGGCCAACTCTTTCACGCTTATTCTTTGCAGTGACACATTGTTGTTTGCCAAAGCTGAACCCTCACTAGCTCACTCCATTCTATCCATTTTAGCCATTTATAAACTTAGCCAAATCCTCAGCCTTTTTTAGTAAAAATACCTCAATCTTTGTCCAATCCTCCATTTGCAATCTTTTTATGGGTATAACCCCTCAAAACTCTTCATGATACATGGGATTACCCTTAGGTATTGGTAGCATTAAAGTGGAAACCTTGTCCTACATTTCCCATGCTATTGGAAAAAAAAAAAAAAAAAATGAATTGGAAGAACAAATTTTTGTCTGCTACAGGCAAAGAAATTCTTTTAAAAGTTGTCCTGAATGCTCTACCTATATAAACCATGTGTTGTTTCCTAATCCCTAAAAAAGTTTGTGCAAATATTGCATGCCTTGTTGCATCTTTTTTATGGAATTCAGGGAATTCAAATGGTAAGAAATTGTATTCGAAAGCAGGGACAATGTTGGATTTATCAAAAGACAAAATGGGGCATTGGAGTTCATGATATTTAGTTGATGAACAAAGCACTTATCACCAAATAGTGTGGAGAATTCTCACAAAACCGAATTTGTTGGTCAGCAAGTGTCTTAAGGCAAAGTACTTCCCAAAGGACAACTTCTTCTCTGTCAAACACAAGCAAACAGGCTTTTGGCTTTGGCACAGTTGGCTCAAGGTTAGAGATTCATTCACAATGGGACTCAGATATGAAGCTAAGAAAGGGAACAAAATTAGCATTTTTTAGCACCCTTTGATTCCAGAGCTGCCAGGATTCAAGCCTACAAGAAGTCCTAACTTTCTAGAAGAGTTAACAAAAGTGCAAGACCTCTAAGATAAGACAGGCGGAAGCTAGAACTTGGAGATTCTGCAGAATTTTTTCACATAAGAGGAGAAAACAGCTATTCTGAAAATCAAGAATCTTAACCCACAGGAGAAGGACAAATTAATATGGCAGTGTGGGAAAAATGAAAACACTCTGTTGCAGCCTCATATGATTATCTGATATGTGAAAAATATAAACTCTTGGATATAGCATAATCTAGCAAAAGGACATGCAGAAATGAAGCAAACAAGGAGACTACGGAAGATGCACATTAAAGGGAAAATAAAACACTTCGTATGGAAGTGTCTGAACAACACACTTCCTAATAATTCAAACTTAGTAAAAAAAAAAAGAGCTGCTATTGATGTCAGATGCAACATATGTGGAGAAGTCCCTGAAAATATCACTCACATATTTTTCATTTGTACCAAAGCTAAGAGGATCTGAGAGCTGGCACCATTAACATGGGATGGCTTAGAACACATCTTTGATAGCTTCTCTCATTGGTGGTCTAAGATCAGCTCACTCTCGCCAACTGCTGACAATGAAGCTAGACTATAGTTCACAACCTACTTGCTATGGTGGATGTGGAACGCAAGAAATATGTGGTTTTCCAAAGTACCTGGAGATTAGAGATTGTTGGGGTTAACATTGCGATGAGTGGTTAGAATTCAATAAGGTGTAAAGCTTTTGGCTCCAATGCAGATATCTGTTATTATCTCCGCTTATGGATGTCTTGCTTTTGGAGCTCTTTGTTGTGGCTTGGTTTGTGATTTTGTTGTGTAGTTATTCTTTTGTTGTATATAGGTTGTGTGTTTTGAGTTTAGCTGTTTTTTCTAGCTGACTGTGTTGCTTCTATGATTTGTTTGTAGTGGTTCTAAGCTATGGGCTCTGACCAGTGGTTTTGTCCTTTTGATTGAAGCTAGAAGGAATTCTTCCTTGAGGTCTATGTTTGATCATTAGTCAAGTGAAGGAAACCTTCTTTCTTTTGTTTTGTCTTTAGGACACTTGTTGTGTTCCTCATGGTCTTTTTAGGCTGGTTATTTGGCTATTTAGCCCCCGGTATTGCACATTGTCCTAATGTTATAAAATATATCGTTTCAGCAAATAAAAAAAAAAAAGTGATCATATTCATCCCATTGAATGCCCAAAGGCTTCCAACTACGTCTCATGAAATAGCTCATTACAAAAAGATAGTTATATTAGTCATCGTTTTTAGAGGAATTTGCACCTCATACTATCAAATATATTTTATATTACACATTTACACCTAATTAATATACAACATAATTGCACATATGCTAGATTTCAAATTTAAGTAACTTATCCTTTTATTAGGGAAAAAGACGGATTACATGAGATTTTATGCATTACTCTCCTTCTCTTCTCTCTCATCTCTCCTTATTCCTTGCTTTTCTTTTTTCTTCTTCTTTTCATCCAGCCCTCTCGTCTTCTCTTTTCTATCATCTCTCCTTATTCATTTCTTCTTTTTTTTTTT